CCCCCCCCGCCCCCCCCCCCCCCCCTTAAATTATTACTATCAGCTCATCCGAGTGTGGAGTCGTCACTCGCATGCGTCGAGAAAGTGTCTTGCCGAGAAATTCCAGGGTAGAGACAATTCGACACGTGCTATAATCGCTGACGATCAAAATCTAGAGATAGTTTTTTTGAAGTACTCTGAATTTTGAGAAGGCCTTCTACTAGTCGCATTTGGCACGCGAACTCACTCAAAAGGTAAAGACAAATAGTACATCTTGTACTTGTTGAAGAGTTCTACATAACTGTGTTTAGATTCGCGAAACAAGTCTCTGATTGGAGAATCAGAGTGGATATTAAAGGCGCGAATAAACATTCATTGTTTGTTTGTATCGCTGTCTACTTTAGTTAAGTAGATAAGCGAGTTGCCGGTGACGCAGTAACAGTAATATTTATCAAAAAAGTTTTTCTTTTATATCACTTTATCAAAGTGATCGACAACTTTCAATTCCAATTGTTTTATCTGTCGATTCGTTTCATTCAAATTCAATGAGTGCATTCCAAGAAACTGATTGAAAATTTATTACACATTATCGTTACATTTCTGAATGACGAAACTTTCCGTCATGAATCTATGTATCGATTTAACACATCGGAAAGTACATGTACAGAACTGGACAACAGCTGGTTTTCAAGGTTTATTATGTTTGTATTAGTATTAGGTCGAAACAACGCCGATGTGGAAAAAACGTTTATTGAAAGTATGAAGATGAGGGTGAGAGATGACGTTACAACAAACCAAATTTTGGATTTTGAACGAGAGTAAACGGCTGACCAAGCTTTCACGTTGTATACAAAGCCGAATTTTGTCCAGACAGGTTTTAATAAAGCACTATGTCAAAAAGATGGTGTTTTAGTTTCGCTTTTTATTTCTCATTTATATGATCAACGTCAAAACAGATACAATATGGATGTGGAGCACACCTATACATCGTGTTATTGAGGTCAAATAATGCTCAAAACGGAAATAGAACAATTAAAAAAGCTTGATTATATATCTTTCAGTTGTTTTTATCAACCTCACATAATCGAGGTATTGCTGTTACATTATACAGTCGCAACGGATGTTATTCGTTGAATGATAAACTTCAGTCAGCTCTATTTAAGAGTGAAATGTCTGATTATCACTCGAAATATTCGTTATGTGCCGAACAATAAAAACTCACGAGGGAAGGCCACCAACTGCCTCCTCGCTTTTGAGCTTAAACTCAGTTGACGATAGGTAATCGAACGTGCTGATTCCGAGTATCACAATGGTTTTTGTCCGCTTTCGATTTAAAGACCCGGTTTTTAAAGACCTTGGTTTTTCAATCGAAAAATCATTTTCATTAAAAAATTTCCTTGACCTGTCCAAATGAAAGAGCACGTCGTCAAACCTACAGAAAACAATTTTTCAAGGTTCTAAGCGAGATTTTGAGCGAGTCTTCTGCGTCTAAAACTTAGAAAAAGAGGAAAAACCCGCTAATATTCTTACACAATTTATAAAAGAAAAACTACTGTTTTTCCTGAACCTGACGATCGATATATATCAGCCTGTTATGTCGATGCTGCATGTGTATATTGTATGGAACGAAATTATAACACAGTCGTTGTAACATTTATGTAGCAATGTGGAATCTTGGAGACAATACCTTACTTTCTATCTTTATCACAAATTGCTAATAACATGTGTGAACAAACAGAACAGAAAGAAAAACAGTAAATTGTGTAAGAATGTTAGCGATTTTTCCCTCTTTTTTTAAGTTTTAGACGCAGAAGTAACTTGTGAGTTTATCCATGAGTATTTTGCCGGTTCCAAAAACGCGTCTAAATGCCACCTGATGAGACCCTTAAGCAAGGCCGAAAGACGAGAAATGAGTGGATTCCACATCAGACTTCTACTGAACACGTGAATTAAAATACATAAAATATTAACGCTAAATGCTGTATGGATACTAATAATATTGGTATTGCCTCCAAGATTCTACATTGCTACATAAATGTTACAACGACTGTTTTATAATTTCGTTCCATACAATATACACATGCAGCACTGACATAACAGGCTGACATATATCGATCGTCAGGTTCAGGCTTTAGTAATAGTTTGTAATATTTATGTAGTAATGCAGAATCTTGGAGACAATACCAATATTATCAATATCCACACAGCAGCAGGGTTAAAATAGAAGAGTTTGAAGGAAACAATAAAAATTCAGATTTTTCTGTTACTCGTAATGAGACATTGCTAATAGATGCATGTAGATTGTTTGCACAAGACCAATTTATGAACAGTCATCATGAGTTAGCAATAGGATGTTATAACGGAGCAACTCGTCTATGAACAAAATATAATCCAAACAAGTTAGAGAGCACTGCTCACTGTCACGCTGATCCAGCAAAAATTTATGAGAAAAGATTCAGTTTTGATTTGCCAACTAAATCGTATCGACAGCCGTTAGGCTCATTGTGAGAAATGCTAATTCACAATATCTCTATGCCGCCACAGAAATAGTTTGTAAATGGTATAAAGCTCTTTTAAAAATTTATGAACACTTAAAGGATATTCCTGATGCCATTATCTATTGCAATGATATTTCAGTTGGAAGAAGATCTATAATCAGTCACCGTCAAAAGGACTGATGTTGTAAAAAAATAGGAAAATCCAATCTACACCAGTCTGGCATTTGAACTTCAAAAAATAACACTAAGTGTGTGTTTCAATGATAAAGCGAATGATTGCGTCAAGAATATTGAAATTACTTACCGAAATACCATAAGACTTCTAACATATAATACTTTGACTTCTTTATTCGAAACAACCATTCCTGATGAGACCAAGATTGTTGTGATTAGATCAATTTATTTTCTTATCGCCTATCTTTATTTTTATGTACTTGCAGATTAGCGACAGTTTTTAAAAGCAAAAACTGCATTTCGAACTTCCGTCGAAATGACGTTAAACAAGAAATTAGGCAACCATGACAAGTATATTGCCGACTGTTACTTTCAGATTGCTAAACTTAAATCTACATACGATGATGAAGATGGAAAAAATTGAAAATTTGAAGAAATCTCTTGAAATCTACTTGAGGAATGAACGAAAAAATGATATTAGAATAGAGACGGCAAACTAGAACTTAATGAAGAATTATTAATAAGATATTTAATGTACGAAGCTATTTTAAATTGGTGCAAAAAAGCAATCGATAAGTGTAAGAAATAAACCATTTGGCGATAGAAAGTCCATATTTGGTCAAAAGCAGCGACACTCCTGTAACTCAAGAAAAACTTTGCAGCATGCACATCACTACATAACACTGTTTAATATTTTATGTTTTTTAATTCACGTGTTCAGTAGAAGTCTGATGTGGTGCGAATCCACTCATTTCTCGCCTTTCGACCTTGCTTAAGAGTCTCATCAGGTGGCATTTAGACGCGTTTTTGGAACCGGCAAAATACTCATGGATAAACTCACAAGTACGGATAGAAATAGTCGACTATAATCTGACAGAAATAATGAAGGCTAAGGGTCTCATGTTTGTATTACATCAAAACGACCGGTAGTATATCAAGAAAACCATTTTTGCGTTATGAAAGGGATTTGTTCAACGTATTAGACAAAATGTTATCTCTTAACTTTAATCTTCAATCCAGTTCCTGACACTAATTTAGAATGTATTAAATCATCTTTCTGTCGAAACATAGTTATATAACACAAATTTTTTCACATTTGTTCACCGTTTCGGCTTTTTCAGTACTATTTGATATCAGCGAATAATTTTATTAATTTCATACAACATAAATGACAGTAGAAAATCTTTTCAAGTCTAATAAAGTTGAATAAAACAAGTTAAATGTTTGAAATTTAAATATCTGTCTGGATTATAGAAGATAAAAACGTGGTCATTTTAACTACCATATTCCAGTTGAAATTTATCGATCATAATAAATGAATTCTTAAAATGATTGCATATTTTAACAGACATACCCAAATTTATCAAACAAACATGCGAGTTGTGTGACAATCCAATCATTAAAGTAAAATAAGTGTACACTTGGTGTTTATGAATAGCTATGATTACGAAACAAAAATAGGTGATTGCTTTGGAGCGAGTATATAAAAAAGGTAGATCTAGATAATATTGTTGCAGCATGAAACCAAATAAAACACGGTTATGTTATTCAGAACAATTATTCACAAGTACTGGCTGATATTGCAGGAGGATCTAGAGTTGCAGCTGCGTTTGATTGTTCCTGACATTGTTGAATTTTTTTTCAATCAAATGTTGTTGAATGTGATGAGGTAAACCAGGATTCAAACTTAAGGCATACGGCAGTATCATTATTGGTAAATCAGAAAAATCAACAATAATTTTGATAAACATTGTATTGTCTATGACATAGTTGTTATTATCTTGTCGAATCATCGGCAGTGGAAAAAACTTTGGAATTCCGCTGGCTATATTCATCTCGGGTCGTGGTCTTTGACAACTATTTGATTTTGTATCAGGTCTGAAAGAATCAATAACATGTCGATTCTGTCCCGTTTGATCGAATAAACAAAATGTAACCTTACAATTAAGTGGCCATTTAAGGATTCCATCATAATCGCCTTTCATCAAAACAAAAAATAATGACATATGTGTTCGACGAGCATTACCATCACCATTCAAATAGAGTCTTGCACACATTTTATAGCCGATTGGTGAAGAGTAGAAGACAGGCGAATAAATTGATGTTTCTCGTTCAGATTGCGCATCCGTCGTTTTATCAGTAACATTTGTTACTTTCCATATTAATGTGCTATCATATGACATAAATTCTATTTCTTTTACTTTTTGTTTTATTATGGATAGTTCTTGTTGTAAACTCTCTTGACTGGATGCTTTACTAGCTAAACACGTATCTATGGTATGAATTTTAATTGATTTCAATTGATTTAATTCATTGAATATTGATTGCATTAGACTATTTACACGTATGGATTCTGTACTTAATCTAGTTGTATCATTTTCTAATGTTTGTATACCTTGAGTTAAAATCGTTAATAAATCGTAACACTTTTGCAATTCGCTTAATAATTGATTTATTTCATTAGATTCAGAATTTGTTACCTTTAACGCTGTGGCTAATTGTTGAGATTCCATTGTTTCATATTCCATCGGTTCTTGCTTAACTGTAACAAATGTAGAACTGTTTGTTGTTAGAGGCTGTTTGAACTTAAAAATAATAATTAACTGTTGTATTTTTTCGAGAAATGCAAGTAAACTTCTTTGATGTTGTTCAGTTAATAAGTGATTTTCAAATTCGAATCTGATAACCTGCAAGATGGAAGCGTATAGAAGAGTTAATGATACGAATATTGTTTTCTAAAACTTACTTCATCACAACATCCGTAATTAACTAACTGACAGAAGATGCGCACTTTTAAGCATGCCTGTTTTTTATGATTCTCCAGTCGACTGGATGAAGAAAATTGTTTGTTGCAATGTTCGCACGTGTGCGCACTGTGATATTCATCCAGATGAACCTAAGACATAACAAATATGTAAATATAAACAGCAAATTTAGCATTAAATTTTGTTTGAAATATTGTACCATATCTATAAAAACTCATAATAAACGGTATTCACTTCATTTTATTGACCTTGCTAACCGAACGCCCTTGTTTCGAAAAAAAACAGATTTTTTTTTCATGTCCTTACGCTAGTATAAAAGATTAATGTCATGACTGACATATATATATCATCTGTCGGTAGCTCTTAGAGAAGAACAGAAGAAGCTGAGAGAATCATATAGAAAACTGTGATAAAAAGCATATAATTTTTTCAATGCTGCTACACGGATATTCGATAAGTTCATTTAATGCTGTACAAAGTTGTTCAAGTATATCAAGCATCTGACAAGAGACCACAAACCTGATAATCATTCAACATTCCAGTCCATTCACATCCAGTTGATTTTTCTTTACAAGTAACATGCAGTTGTCCAATAGCGCGACTGAATTCACCATCGAGAATAAGCTAAAACACAATTCTGTTGTCTGATTTTGGAAACTAGCGTAAATGTTTTACACTTACATCATCTTCTGAAATGAATATTAAACATAATGGGCATTTTGCACCTGTTTTAGAACTGAAAAGAACAATTGATAAGATAAGAAGACTAAAAACCATCTGACGTTATCTCTACTAGAAGAGAATCACTGCTGTTGACATTATTTCTTCGCTTGTTTTATCACTTTTACACTCTAGTCGTTTTGAATTGGTCAAAACTTACATAAATATTTGCAAATTTTTTGAGACCGGACAATGCAAAAAAGCAATATTAGGTAAACTGTACTAGACTGTAAAATGAAAAGCCATCCATTCAACAGAACCAACTATAAAAGCTATATTAAGGGAGGAGTCTACCCTCTCTATATGTGACGTCAAACTATGTCAGTTTGAAAAGGACACCTGATTACATATATTCTTCAGTTTTTTCGATGATTCACAGAATTATTAATTAACTAAGTTTAAATTTTAATTAAAATTTCGATTTCGATGGTATTGTAAAACAATTCATTATATTTTGTTGGAATGTCCGATCAACACCGCGATAGAGTTATTTTGTAGACAATCTTTGGTTGTATATAATAAGCCTAAGTTAAGAGATAACCTTTAAAAGGTTTGAAAAGTTTTCCTACGACATAGACTTTTTAAGTGAAATATTGTAAAAAGAGTGTTTTTTCTGCTTTTAAGCATAAGAAGTCATTTTTTAAAACCCTGCGAGCTATTGCAAGAGAACAAAGAATTTCCGAGAATATTTTCCGCTAGCGAAGTTGTAGCTGATGCCATAAGTGGAATTTTCAAAACAAAATTTTGAACAGAAGTTAAAAGAAAATTAAACAGCTGTTAATTTTAAAATTTTTTAATTAATAATTTTTGAGTTCTTATTGTTAGAAAAGAAACACGGTTTTGCTTATTCCACGTGGAATTTCATAGGAAACAACTTTTGTTCCAACAGTTTTTACGAGTTATCCTTTGCGTAGTCAGAATCTGTGGCAAGATTTTGGGTTGCGTATCCCTGCAACAAGGGCTTCCAAAACTCTCAGCAATTATTGTCATATTGAATAAGTTTTAATTGTACATAGTGGCTATATAGTCCAAAGCGGTCTCTACAACCACAACAGATAGAGAGGTCGGCCTTGCTCAGAACTGTAGAGAACACTTTGATCTATCCAGTCACTATGTTAGAATAAACATCCACCGCTGATTCAGAACCTTGTAACGTCATCGCTTTCCATCAGTCAGATACACCTCCTGGAAAACCGAAGTATTTGTTATCAAATATATGTGAAGATAGGGTAAAGCCTTCGCTACAAAATGCTGAAAGCCGGAACTCTCTATTTCTTTTCCTTCTCGAGTTATTCAAAAAACATTCATGGCAGTTGTATACAGAAATCCATAGTAGTAACCCCGTTTACCTAAAACCGAGTACAAATGACTGCTCATCGGTAACGTTTTGAAAAGGCAAATACAGGGATTCGTAGCGCTTGGAAATCTCTCTCTAATAACGTATTACTCTACCGTTTTCAATAAAGTGTTAATTTGCAAATAAAAGTGTAAAGCACCAGAGTGATATTAAATAGTATTCATTAGCATTGACTAATTATAAACTTTTGTCTTAAAAAACGTTTTTGTAAACTTTTTTCATTAGACCATAACAACAGACTATTGGCTATTAATTAATGCATGAATGCCTTTTTTCGGATTATTTTTGACTAAGCAACAAGTTTTTAAGATTGAGAACTAGGACCTTGAATTTTAATTAAAATTTAACCTTAATTAATTATAACTCTGTGAATAGTCACCAGTTCGTCGAAAAACTGAAGGATATATGTAACCACCCTCATCTTCACCCTCCTCTTCAAACAGACATAGTTTGAGGGCATATATAGAAGGGGGGGGGTACGTTTTTCTAATTCATCGAAAAAGGAAAAGGGTGTTCAAGTTTCGATACCAGAACTCGCACATGTTAGTGTGTAGAATGTGTAGAACTGCATGATGATATTTTTATTTTACCGAATTTCGTTCTTCAAGCACGCTTCACATGCTCTGTCTCCACATATTTTAATTTGGACAGGATTGCGAATCAGGTACTTGCATATTGCACAAATAAACTTCACATTAAAAGAGTTTTGGTTCCATACAGCATAACCGCGATCATCCATTCGTAAGCAACTAGAATTAGAAAATCTAATCGCTCAATCAGATGTAACAAATATGTTATTAGCACTTACGAAACAAAAGAACATTTTTAGCGTGCATTAGATTTTTAAAAATTAGCAATGGAATAAGTCACTATTAATTTCTAAAATGAACAGAAACGATGTAACGAATTCTTCGTTAAATAATGTACTTAGGCTAAAAAGTTTCCGACATGTTTTTCACAGCACCAGAGAATGACATATTAGTTTTCAAAGCCAGCCACACTGATTTTGATTTTTAAACTCAAATTTGTATTAACTTATAAATTCGTTTTACAACGGCTTTGTAGCTACAGAAAAGTTCGAATCACCACATTGTTTTGTTGATGTTTAGCGTATATATTCTCAATTTTTGTGTTGACCAGAAAACCTATGGAAGTGATCCCTTCTGTTTCCAGTGATTTTTACGTTGATCGATAGAACATACCGAGGTAGTAAAAAGCCTAAAAGGATTTCGGCCGATGACTCATCCTTCAAAAGTTAGAGCGATTTTTCTATTTTATCCTAAGGAAACACGAAAAAATTAAAGAATCCATAACTTTATCAAGAAAAGTAGTTAAAAGCTCAAATTTCTTTCTCTTCTATATGTCTGTGACATTCATAAAAGTTTTAACTTTACAACTCCTTCCATTCCCGAACTATTGGATTTTACGTTTAGTTTTCCACTAGAACTGTTGAAGGTTTCATAAATGACATGGTTTCGATCGACATGTGAAGAAAACTAATCGAAACCATATAACTTCGATGTTTTCTAACTCCACTTTTCAAGAAGATCTCTGAAGACCTTAACATCTACAGCCAACTTGAGAAATCTTTTTTGTTTTCATAAACAAGCTTAGACCACCAAACCATTTGTGAAAGTTTCAACAGTTCTAGTGGAAAATTAACGATTTTTGTAGCCGTTATATTGGGAGCCTATCAAAGGGCTAATCTATGAAAAACGTCAAATTCAATAGCTCGGAAATGGAACGAGTTGTAAAGCTGAAACTTTTTGTGACTATCACAGACGTATAGAACAGCCATAGAAAGAAATTTGAGCTCTTAGCTACTTTTCTTGACAGACTTACGGATTTTTTAATTTTTCCAGGTTTCCCTAGGAAAAAAAAGAAAAATCGCATTTAACTTTTGAAGAAAGATTTATCAGCCGAAATCCTTTTAGGCGTTACTATCTCGATATAGTCTATCGATTGGCGTATAGATCACTGGAAACAGACGGGATCACTTCCATAGGTTTCTTCGTGAGAGAATAGTTACAGAAGACTGTTTTGAGGTTTGAGCGACTAGTCTTGGCCAGTCCAAGTTTCTATGGCTTGAACTTCTCTGTAACTAAGATAGCGGTTGTAAAACAAAATTCCCAGTAACTGTGACACTACTGCAAAAAAATTACAATAAAGTTAACTTCATTGTCCCTATACTACTGCGTCATAGGGTTTGCATTAATACAGCAATTTAACAGTGTTATTGTAAGTTAGCATAGCACATGCATGGAACAGATATGTTACACAACAAAATGAATTCGATCCGTCGAAACTAACGAAACTACATCAAATCACTTGTGTAATTTATCTATGTACTACTTTTAAAATAGAATTTTACCCCATCTATAAAAGAATGTGCAGATAAATTCAATATTGGCTCCTTTTTTTAGATCGATATGAAACCATCGTTTGATTTTTCTCGAAGGCTTGCTGCTACTTCTTCAACAACCCGCTTCTAACAAGTGATTAGAAGTATGGTGCTTAGGTAAATGATTTTCTATCCATGTAATAAAAGTTTTATATTTACGTGAATGATAAGGTGAAAATGATTAGAAATTTTGGGATTTTTGTCAACAAATTGCGGAGTTTTAGAAGAGAATTTGATGATAGGAAAAAGAGTATGATAATAATCAGTATAATCGAGAATTTTATATTTATTCTGTCGATTTTGCAGTATATATAACTGATGCAAGAATGACACATACTTCTTACATGTCTTTATTTTTAGTTGGAGAAAACCAACTTTCATTACAACGCGTATATTTTTCTTTCTCCTTTTCTTCCCGTTCTATTCACATAACTTAGAACAAACATTTATTATTACAACGCTGTAAAGTAAAGAGCTGTATGACTGAAACAACATGAGATAAAAATAATTAATTCTCTCTCACGATACTTTTAAAACTGCATGTGAATGAAAAATATGGACTTTTTCTAACTATGTTCATTCGATTCATTCAATTATCTTGCTAGCTCTGTAGAAGAAAATGTACAAGTTCTTGAAAGGTCTGGGATGAAACTTCAGAAATCTTTAAAGATTTATCAAGATCTGTATTCAAGATGTTTCTCCTGGGACTATCAATCAAGTTCTATAACTTGTCAATCTATAACTGTGTCAATCAAGTTTCATGCATGAAACTTCTTATCTTCGAAATATCCAATGCACGGCATTTACCTCACGTTGTTAGTTGCTGTCAAGGTCAATTTTCTTTCCTTACCTGTCATCCGTGTACGATTAATTATTCACATTTGGTGTGAGCTTCATGTCACGAATTCACCCTCTGTAGTGATAGTAAGATTGGCTATTGATAAATAATTTGAAGATGGAGCAGTAGAAATAAATTTAGAAATTATTGAGTGAGTATAACACCAGAAGATGTTATACTCCTAACAACGACGTTATATTCCTAACAATTAGAAAAGTTGAAAAACTCTCGGTTAAACTTCAAAAGTGCAAATGTGATCTTGAATTCCTTCGTCTTTGCCTAATCTATCGTCTGACGCCTGCATTTATTAAGATAAACCTATGGAAGAAACGAATAAAATGTACTCAAGAATATTCTACCTTTAAACATTTTTGTCTCAAACAAGAATATAACAATAGACATAAAGACAGCATCAAACTAGAAAATAAAAGTATTAAATTACGAGATCACTTAAAATCAAAACTTACTGCATCTGATTTTGAGTTATTACAAAAATATTTTTATGAGCAGTCGAAACAAGAACATGAAAAATTCATTAACATACATCAGAAGAAATTAGAGAAATTAAATCATGGACCAGTAGGTCAGAATTATGAATTACTACGATCAAAACTTGTTCACAATATTTTCTCATATAATCTTTCTCTAGCAGAAGAATGTCTGTTATGTAGAGGATGGGATTTTTGCTTTGAAAACAAGATTACAAATTTCATCGACTTTAATACTGATATGAAATTAAATGCTTGTAAAATCCGAAAACATTGTCACCCTAACTTATTTTCTACTATATGTCGTAAATTGTATAGTTATTCAGAAATATTTATGAAAACAGTTAAAAAGAAAAAGATAAGGAATATTAGTAATGAAGAATTTAATGTAATTAAATCTTTGAAAAATAATCATAATATTATAATTTATCGTGCAGATAAAGGTAATTTCATTGTTATACTTGACAAGAAAGAATACATTAAAAAGATGGAAGAGATTCTCCAATTGAAGCAATTTAAATACATCAAGTCACCGTTAATTAGTAAAGAAAAATCTATAAATAAGTATATATTAAAATTATTTGAAGACAGTGTAATTGACAAAGGAACATACTATCGTATTCATTCTACTTGCGCCTCTTATGCTACTATGCATGGTCAATCAAAAGTTCATAAATTAAATTATCCGCTTCGCCCTATCATATCATCTATAGGTGCATATAACCATGATTCATCTAAGTTTGTTTACCAACTAATTAAAAATAATAGATCCTCTTAATCATTTTCTTATATTCGTGACTCATTTGAATTTGTGAAAAAGATTGTACGAATCCAAAATAGCTCTGATTAAATAATGGTTAGTTTTGATGTCGATAATTTATACACAAATGTTCCTGTTCATGAAGCTATAGAAATTACTCTAGACATGTTATTTAAAAAGCCTTCTCCCCCTTCTATACCTTTTACTCGATCACAATTAAAACAATTATTAGAATTCGCTGTATTCAACATTCCATTCAAATTTCTCGATAAAGTATATATATAAACTGATGGAGTAGCAATGGGATCACCTTTAGGTCCAATATTAGCTGACTTATTCATGTCAAATCTTGAGCAAAAAAATTAATAGATTTTCAACAAATAAACCATTAATATGGATTAGATATGTAGATGATATATTCTGTATTTTTAAAAAACAACAAAATATAAATTACTTTTTAACAAGAATTAATAAGTGGCACCCTAATATAAAATTTACAATTGAACATGAATGTAACGAAAAGTTAGCATTCTTAGACGTACTAATAAGTCGAGATAATATAAATAATAAATATAATACCACGTTATATAGAAAACCTACCAATACCAATCTGTACTTACTATATGAAAGTAATCAATGTAGAGAATATAAATTAGGTTTAATTCGAATATTAGTCATTCGCATACTTCTAATTTGTTCAACAGATGAATTAAAGAATAATGAACTTAAATTAATGAAAGAAACCTTAACAATGAATGGTTATCCACAACACTTAATTAAAAGGGGCATACATCAAGGAGAAATAATCACTAAAAGAATGATGTCTAAACAACAGCGAACACAACAATCGTCAAAAAAGAAAAGAGGTCTACTTTCTTCTGTCCTATTATGGTCAAGAATCAACCATAATAGCTAATAGAATTAAACGAATATGTGAAAAACTTCTACCCCTTATAGAAATTAATGTATGCTTCAGAAAAACTTTTACAATCAAAAGTGTTTTTCTTCTCATCCAAAAAGGACTAGATGAATCAAAAAAAGAAAAAGAAATTAGTATAGAAGATACCATGCTTGAATCGTGAAAAATGTTACATTGGAGACACCGGTAGAGAAAAGGAAACTAGAATGAGGGAACATCAATCGGACATCAAAACACAAATCGAGTCCTCGAATGTAGCTAAGCATATTAATAAAGAAAAACATACATTTGATTTTACACAATGTGAGACTCTAGCTCTTGAAACAAACTGGCGAAGAAGAATTATCAAAGAAAGTCTGTTTACACACCAAATGAAAGGAAAAGCCTTAAATGACGTAAAATTTAAATTAAACATCTTTGCATAAAACTATTACAAACTTATCAATTAGGAGTCAGACTATTAGCTCTTTTGGTATCGTCCCGATTCGTCGACAAATCGGACACTTCAAAGAATATACATCAAAGAATTTCAAAGGCGGGAGGGGCGGTGTGAGAGTGAGTGTCGACGAATCGGGACTGAATCGCTCTTTTCCATCTTTTTCTTCTTCTTTTGATGTATTATGAATTAGTGATCACATTATTAGCTTTTTCTTGTTCCTTCTCTATCTATACTCTATCAATTAACACTCTTGCTATATATAGAGACATATATAGAGTTATAAATCCACTTTCTCAATTCAACAGGCATTTCTAACTTTTCTAAAGTTTTCATTAGAGCTGGCCACCACACTCGCTCAAACGCCGTAGCAAAATCTACGAATATTACTAAGACCGGTCTATTTGAAGCAGCAACTGTTAGAAAATCCTCAATGATTGTTTTTTATTCTAGTTTGTAACCTTCTACCTGATGTAAAACCATTTTGTTTATCTAAGTGAATTCCATGCTCGTTACACCACATTTCTATTCTTGCTGCGATAACACGCTTGAAAACTTTACCTAAATTAGGCAAAACAGAAATTGAACGAACTCTATCCACCGTCATGCTCCATCTTTGGATAGAAAAATACCCTTGGCTATTTTACTTTTTTCAAAAAAATCACAATTTTTGCACACTTATTAAAAAGTACAGTAAAAGTAGTTAAGTATTCAGCTGGAACTTGTTTTAACAAAAATGATGAGTTTTCCACACAATCTAATGACATTTTAAGTTTTAACTTTTTCCACTGTTTAATGACTTCCTCAAGTTTTATCTGTTCTAACGTAGTATTTTTTATCTCTTTTATTCGTTCGTAAGCATCTATGCACGCACCCTTTCTGAAATAGATTTCGATTATTAAAGTTTGGTTTTGAGAAGTGCTTTTCGTAATAGTCTGCCAATCGATCGACCACCTCCTGGTTATCTTTTAGCACTTCATTATCTATTTTTAATCCTCGAAAGGATGCTGCAAAAGGTCTGAAAACGGGTTTAACATGTTTTCAGATATTTTGTGCCTCTTTCATATTTTTCAATTTAATTTCTCTTTTTTCTTGTTCAAACTTAATCTTTTCTTTAACGTATACTGAATGTTTTTGTTTAAAAATATGATAATCTCCTAGAAATCTAGTTCTTCTGAATCTTCGTTTTGCTTTATTTACATCCTTCACCATTCTAACTAAATATGGTGGTCAAGGTGGTCTATAATTTCTAATTGACTCATATTCACTACATCGATCACATAATGCAGCGAGAAATATTGAAAATAGTTCAAAAAAGCAATTGTAGTCGACATTATATACAAACGAATTCAAGTATGGATGCCCACTACTTAAGAAAAAACTGAAGAAATTTCATTTAGTTTTTCTAAACAACCCATTCTCTCAATGAGTCAGACCACAAAAACAAGCATGAAAGATGTTGCACAATCAAATCGTAAGACACGATATTTCTAAACGTATAAAGTTGTCATACTTTCTAAAATAATACCAATCGGCAGCAAGTAAGTTTAGCTGTCAGTATACGAGCTACATTCTAATAAACAATCGAAAATGGACAAGGCTACGCTGCTTTGCCAACTCAAACTTGATGAAAAAATGATAGAGTGCATATATTTGTTTGGATCACATGCGTACGGCACAGCAAGCGAGCAGAGACAGAGTGACTACGATATTGTAATGGTACTAAAATCACGTGCATTCGACGCGCATGAATTATTTAAATGGAGAAATGTAAACTGGTTAACACGACACAATTGGATAAATCCCAATTTTCGTCATTTTTTCTCTGGTGAATCGGATAAAACATGTTTTTTCGATTTAGGAGACAGGGAGGCACCAGTATGGATGTACAATGTTGATACTTTTTGTATGCTTCTAAGAACAAACACAATGTTTGCCATTGAATGTATTAGTCTACCAGAAAAACTGAAATGGATTGAAAAACGGAACTTTTCTGATGAATTTTGTATTGATGATAAGATGTTGGAACAATCAGTGATTAACCATTCACGATCTCATCTTTTCATGGCGTGTAAAAATATGACACAAATCTTATTTCCAGCTGAAAATGATGATATGGAGACTCGAGATGAAATTGAAAAAATGTCGAAAGATCCAATATGGAATCACACACAGTTGCCTAATAACTATAACTTTTATAAAACAAAAAAATTGATATGGCATTCCATTCGGTTGCTCTATTTCGGTATTAATATCAAACGTTTTAACCGATTGACAGATTACACTGGTGCAAATTATTTATATGAAGATCTTCTTGCTATGGAGTCACATAAATGGATAGACTTCGATAAAAAGTACATGCCAACTTATACGGAACTAACAAATGAATTCATAAATCTAACGCGAGATGCACTAACATTACCGGATAAAATGCAGTTGTAAATTACATATTTTCGTTGTTAAATTTGTCATTGGACAATTTTAACTCCCTACTATACTTGATACTTATATCGCAGTTACAGGTTGGTAATGAGTTAACTAGGGATATTTTGTTGAGCAGATCCTAAACTTCCATACCAACACAGAAAATGATCTCATAAATAAATTCCGCTCTCTTTCCCCATTTGTAATTGAAAAGCATTTTTAGTATAGAGGTGAAATATTTCTCAGAAAAAAAAATTATTTTTCAATCTAAAAATTTTCAAAAATCACTCCTTTAATACTATGATATAGCCTGGATAATAACATCCACTGAGAATTTGGTGCAGAAATGATGATATTCTTGCCCTTAACACAAAAAATAAAATTCTATGAATTAATGTCTAACTCATGTTTAGAATTAGTTGTTTTTTTTTCTAGGACTCACATGTTTTTATAGTAGAACATACGTACACTTTTGAGTATTCATGTATCAACTTTTCTCTTTCTAGATACTCGACTTCTTACGATTTTATTTCTTTCCATCTCTCTAGTAGTTCGTTCTGTCTATTTGTGGCTTCGCTCTCTGAGTACTTGACCCTTGTAGAAAGAGCGAAGTTGATAGCTCAATAAACTTAAATAGCTAACGAGGGAACCCCACCAAGTGATTAAACGCTTTTTGCTCGGAATCTAGTGCGTTATAGGTTATCGACCATGCTAATTACGAATACGACCATGCTGCTTCCGCATAGCCCTTCCAAGACCTGATTTTCTAGAAAACGAGTTTTTCAGAAACTCCAAAAAATAACCCGAACCGTTCTTAATGAGGCATGATTATAGCCCGCACATTTCTGATTAAAATGAGACCTCTCCCAACTCTACATGACCTTTCTTTGCAAAGTTATAGAATTTACACGAAGAGCCCTAAATTA